TTGGTCTGGGCCCGAGGTGGGCTTAATAGCCGGCGACTACTGTAGTAATAATTGCACATAGCCCCAAAATAGCAGCCGTTGTCTCACCAAACCTCCAGTCGGCGGTTGGTATGTGAGATTGTGAAGTCCATAATCATGCCTGAAAGCACTTAAAGAACTTGGAAGGCGGCGAAAACGGAGCCGTTGAGTCTTGAGTCAATTTTATGAACAAATTAGGGTTAGATGCTGTCGACTTCTGCAGAAGACCGCACCTGTTCTGCGAAGCAGGACATCAAAATTGAACTTATTCAGCTCAGCGCCAAATTGGGACGCCTTAGAGAAGTGGACCCTTGGCAGATGTGCCATGCAACCGCCTGAAATCACACTTAGTAAGGCGGAATACATTTTGTTATGACAAACTGGCTCCAGTAAGCAGTTATTCAAGAATTACAATACCATATAGGCTTGTCGGGAAAACAGGCTACTACTACACCTAACTCACCCTTATAGAAGGTACACAGATTCTTGATCACCTTCACCAGAGGGGGCACAAGAGCCAGAAGGTACGATCGCCGAAGCTCGGGCGAAATACTTTCGAGACACTCGAATGAGTAGGATCCGGCAAAAGTCTTTAAACTAAAACGCAAACTGGCAGGTTGTGAGAGGCAAATAGCTTCAGAAAAAATTATGCGTGCGACACTGGAATAATTACTAGTAGTAGTAGTAGTGTGCTGGCGAACTAAGCTGCGACTTACTCTGCTCCGCCCAAATAGTCCAATTTGGTTTTTAAATCCTGAAGAAGGAAAGCGAGCGTAAGCCAATCAAGGACGCGGTCTGACGGGTTGGGATCCGACAGTTCGTCAACGCTGACCGCAGGCAGGGGGTGAACCAGCTGCACGGCAGCGGATATATCGGACTCGAGGAGTTGACTTGCCGGAGGAACTTTGAGCTGTTCGGGGTCATCGAGAGCACTCTGCAGCGTGACCACAATGACTGCTAAGTGCAGTTCCCGAAGGCATGGTGTCAGTGTGGAGAGGAGGTACTGTGGAAAGTATAGTGTAAAGTTGGAGCGTCAGACGGCGGTGTAAGCTGATCGTAAGCTGATCGGATACGTTTGGATGATATTTAGAGTTGTTGGAAAACTTTCCCAATATTTGTGTCGGGAGCTTTTGGAAGTTCAGATATTACGCAGACGAGTTGGTAATGTAGCCACCACCTGATCATTCCAACAACACTCATATACTATAAACTGTATGGCTTAGGTTCTCGATCGCCTGCAACTAATTGGCGAACTGATGCAGTTCGGTTGGCCACGTTTCGCAAGAAGACCGCTTCAGATGACCAGCT